TTTAACCTACTATTTGTCATTTTTGTTGGTTTGCGCATACTACCTTCCACCTACTAACGACGGCCTCCAACCTTAGGCGTTGACCCCCAACGGTTTTGTGATGATGTCCAACCTAAAAGCGATGGCCTTTAACCTACTATTCGTCCTGGTACCTAGGAAATGGTAACCTGGGCCGGCGTGTGGCACCGCATTCACATCAGCGCGCATTTCTATAAGTGTGTGTGCGCCTTTTGAAGTCACAGGGATCCGCTCGGATTGCGTTTTCTTTCCTTTTCTTTTATTGACCGGGGGGCAGGAGCGCCATTGCAAGTCTCCTCCCAACGAAGACACTTGCAATTGGCGGTGAAACCAGACCTGATCAGCCTGGCGTACCTGCAGTTTTACTTGAGACACTTCATCATGGGCCCTGCTTCTAACTAGAACAAGATGTCCAGCCTTTGCGCCGCTTTGCTCTCGGCAGTCACGCGTAAACTTTGATTGCAACTTGCAGCTGTGATTGGACGACGTCATTCTGTCGATCGATCGTTCGACGGTCTCTTTAGATTTGATGGCCACGCTGAACTTGAACTCGATGGACCTCCACTTCCTTTTCAGGTCTCCTTACCTGTACCCTTAGGAATTGGTAACCTAGGCCGGCGTGTGGCAACCGCTTTCAGTTCAGCACGCAAAATCATAAGTGTGTCTGGCTTTATGCCAGCCCAGGGTGACCCGGAAGAGTGGCCCCTGTGCACCCGTCGAGCGGGCGTTTGTCTTTATCTCCCCTGCCCGGAGATGCACGTGCGCAGAGCGGGCGTAGGTGGCCTAGGCCGAAAGTACTCAAATCCGCCCGCACCGAAGGTGCCGAGGCGTTTTATGAGGCTCGCGTTATACCGCAAGTACCGCAAGTACTACTATAGCTTTAGCTAGGGGGGGGGGAGCATTTTCGCTCTAGAATCCTGTGTTTTTCACGTTTTTGGAACCGGCTTAAAGTGCTGGAAGATAAATTCGCGCTAACTTGAAGCCTCTGGCGATGCAAGAAATGCAATTTTCTGCTTTGCATCATCTGCATCATCTGAGCGGTAAAGTGTAATTGGACTGAGGCCGGACATTTGGCTGAAAAGGTCCCCCTAACGGGGCTCAACATAGCTTCCATATTGCGTAACATAGCTCTAGAAGTCACTATCTAACGGACGTGTCTGCGAGATAGGTACTTGAACGTCGTAAACATGGCCCAACGAAGGCTCAAAAGGGACTGGAATAGAGTGAAGATATTGCCTAACATAGCCCCAGAAGTCACTATCTCAAGCATGCTTCTTTGAGATAGGGACTTCAACGTCGTAAACATGGCCCAACGAGGGCTCAAAAGGGACTGGAAAAGCCTGCAAAGTCACTATCTCAAGCATGTCGCCTCGAGATAGGGACTTGAACGTGCGGGTACGTGGCGAGTCAGGAGCAGAGATAAGGAAAGATAAGGTCCAGGAATGGTGGTCAAGAACAGAAATAAGGAAAGATAAGGTCCAGGAATGGTAACATTTTCTCACGAGCCTAGTTCCATATGATCGAACATAGCCCCCGAAGGCACTATCTCAAGTCTCCACACTCCACACGTCCCGGTCTCGAGGGAACACGCAGTGACTTCTGGGGCTATGTTCGGCAATATGGAAACTATGTCGGGCCACGTTAGGAGAACACGTTTCCGCTAATTGACCTTATCTCTGCTTATCTCTGCTCCTGTTGAGCCGGCCTATCTTGCACGATCTTGAGCTACCTTGAGAAAAGATACATCAATTTGCGCCGTTCAAGTCCCTATCTTCCTTTCATACTGACTCCCTTGGCTCCAAAAGCACAAGACCCCGTTCCAGATCGTGTTCCTTCCTGAAGCTCTCTCACCGCTTACCCGACCCGCAAGACGGCAGCAGTCTTTTAACCCCCCAACTACGTTGGGCCATGTTAAATCCCTATCTCGAAACATGGAACCTATGCTCGGCCACGTTGGGGATGGAGGGGGGGTCACTTCCGGGGCTATGTTCGGTGAAAATATTGTCCCCTTCCATGCGGTGCGGGCGGTTACCGTCGCGAAGCGACGTGAATATATGTCTCCTTTATGGAATTCTAAGCTGGCTCATGCCTTTACGCGACCGAAGCGGTCAAAGGTGGCAGCCTTCGGGCAAGCCGTACGCAGTCGCAGCGACCAAAGCTTGATTGGAACCTGTCCCATACATGCAAACGAGGCGATGTCTTCCTAGGTGTTTCTAATGAAGTTCGGCTTCATCGGTTCTCGTCCCCTCCATTTGGTTCCCTTTTCATCTTTCCCCTTTTACACACCTTTGGTTTCCTCTTTTCTTTCATGTCCTCCTGTCTTCATGTCTGGTCATCCTTTTCTTCGTTTGCCCCCACATAGGTCCCGCCCTTAGTGTGTACGTGCACTTCTACACACATTTGAAACACAGGTTTCAGGTCGCCCAGGTCTTTACAATGAGGTGGGGTTCATCGGTTGTCCCTGCGCGCTGGGTTTCTCTTTCATAGCAACCACACACCTTTTTGCCCCGTCTTGTCCTCCTTCTCATGTCTTCATCCTTTTGTCTTTCCCGCGTGCACATTTGCGCAACCGTCCTAGCCTTAATTCTTTTTGCCTCCCCTCGGGGAGCGTGTGTGTGTGTGTGTACCCCTTGTAATCACAGGGATCCAGTCGGATTGTGCGTTTTTTCTTCTTCTTTTGATTTGAAGCAGGGGTACTAGTAAGGCCCTTGCTCCTAGTAGCGATGCGCTTGTTCCTAGTAGCTGACATATGCACTAGATATGGAGATGTAATCGGTGAACGAGGAAGACATTTGGAATAAAGAACTTCAGGCCATTTGTGACATGCCATGTTGTTTGTTTCGGTCATCCTTTAACGTTGGATCACCCACGGACTTGACTGGTGATCCAACGAAGAGGGTCAAGCTCCGTGCTGATATCTGGCCTGATCAGCCAGACGTACCTGCGGTTTTTTCGAATGGCATGAGGCTAAGCCCAGAACCTCCAAGACATGGTTTCTAAGCAGCTGCAATCGCGCGCGATCCGCCGTCATCTCGTCGCTTCGTTCTCGGTCTTGCGCTTTTGGCCTCACTTCCTCTTCCAGGCTTCGATGGTTCTTACTGGTACTCGTAGGAAATGGAACCCTATAGGCCGGCGTGCGGCGCCGCTGTCAAGTCAATACGCATATCCATAAGTGTGTTTGGCCTCGTGCCAACCCGGGATGAGCCCGTAGAGTGCCTCCCGTGGACCCGTTGAACGGGCGTTTGTCGAACGCACCCCCTGCCTGGATACAGAGCAGCTCGCAGCGAGCGTAGGTGGCTTATGCCTCAAGAAATGGGATGTTCGTCTCATCTTTGGAATTCCAAGTTGGCTCATGCCTTTTCGTGACCGCAGCGGTCAGAGGTGGCCGCCCTCGGGCATGCCGTACGTGGTCGCAGCGACCGAAGTTTGTTCAAGGTTCACTGGAACCTGTCCCATTCTCAGGTGCACACACACAGCGTATACATGCAAACGAGGCGAGGTCTTCCTAGGTGTTTCTAACGAGGTTCGGCTTCATCGGTTCTCGTCCCCTCCATTTGGTTCCCCTTTTCACCGTTTCCCCTTTTTCACACCTTTGTTTCCTCTTTTCTTTCATGTCCTCCTGTCTTCATGTCTGGTCATCTCATCCTTTTCTTCGTTTGCGCGCACATTGGTCCCGGCCTTAGTGTGTACGTGCACCTTTACTTACAGTTTTAACACAGGTTTCAGGTCGCCCAGGTCTTTACAATGAGGTGGGCTTCATCGGGTGTCCCTGTGCACTTGGTTCCCCTTTCATCACAACCACACGCACCTTTGTCCCGTCTTGTCCTCCTGTCATGTCTTCATTCTTTTGTCTCTTGCGCGCACGCGCGTGCACATTTGCCGTCACCTTAGATTTACGCCTCCCCTCAGGGAGGCGTGTGCGTGTACCCCTTGCAATCACAGGGATCCAGTCGGATTGTGCGTTTTTTCTTCTTCTTTTGATTTGAAGCAGGGGTACTAGCAAGGCCCTTGCTCCTAGTAGCGATGCACTTGTTCCTAGTAGCTGACATATGCACTAGATATAAAGATGTAATCGGTGAACGAGGAAGACAATTTGGAATAAAGAACTTCAGGCCATTTGTGACATGCCATGTTGTTTGTTTCGGTCATCCTTTAACGTTGGATCACCCACGGACTTGACTGGTGATCCAACGAAGAGGGTCAAGCTCCGTGCTGATATCTGGCCTGATCAGCCAGACGTACCTGCGATTTTTTCGAGCGGCATGAGGCTAAGCCCAGAACCTCCAAGACATGGTTTCTAAGCAGCTGCAGTCACGCGCGATCCGCCGTCATCTCGTCGCTTCGTCCTCGGTCTTGCGCTTTTGGCCTCACTTCCTCTTACAGACCCCCAGGCTTCGATGGTTCTTACTGGTACTCGTAGGAAATGGAACCCTAGGCCGGCGTGTGGCACCGCTGTCAAGTCAGCAGGCATATCCATAAGTGCGCGCGTGCCCCTTGAAGTCACAGGGATCCGCTCGGATTGTGTTTTCTTTTCGTTTATTGGCGCCGTTGCAAGTCTCCTGCCAACGAAGACACTTGCAATTGGCGGTGAAACCAGACCTGATCAGCCTGGCGTACCTGCAGTTTTACTTGAGACACTTCATCGTGGGCCCTGCTTCTAACTAGAACAAGATGTCCAGCTTTTGCGCCGGTTTGCTCTCGGCAGTCACGCGTAGGGCTTTGGTTTCGACTTGCAGCCGTGAGCGGACGACCTCATTCTGTCGATTGATCGTTCGACGGTCTCTTTAGATTTGATGGCCACGCTGAACTTGAACTCGATGGACCTCCACTTCCTTTTCAGGTCTCCTTACCTGTACCCTTAGGAATTGGTAACCTAGGCCGGCGTGTGGCAACCGCTTTCAGTTCAGTACGCAAAATCATAAGCGTGTGTGTGTGTCTATGTGCGCGCGACCAAACTTGCGCACTTTCAGAAGCCGAGAAACCAGCCATTCTTGCATTGCAAGCATATATTGGCCTGTAACACAAAGCCGTGCCCCTTTCAATCTCTTATCCCACCAACTACAAATTATTTGGGAAACTAAAATCTCTGGAAGATGCTCCAATGACTTGCACGGCCTGCGTGCATTGGGCACAGCTTGCCTCGCAAACCTCAGTCAGGATGCGCGAGGGACTGCAGGCAAGTACAGTAGTTGAATGAGCTCGACTCAACGAATAACACTGAACATCAAGACCTACTGCAAAGGTTGGTGTCCAAATTCTTGTATCAAGGTGGTAGACTCTGCAGTGGTCCCACACACGCTAACTTGTTGCAGCATGAAGAAGCTTGGCAGGTGCGGCCAATGCTGCTGTGGCCTGTCCAAAGTAAACTGAATGCCATTACATCAAAATCACAGCATAAGATCTGGTTGGATTTGCTCACTACGCAGTATCATTACCAAAAACTGCGGTATTCTATTGATTGCAATACAGAGTGGGCGGGGGGTTGGGAACCCACACCCTTGCAAACTCTCCATGCAGTGAGTGGTCCCCTAAGCCATGGTGGACTTCAGACAACACGAGTGATCTTTTTCACATTGCAAAAACTCACGCTTTATCTATAGTATGTAACATAGTAGTTAGTTATGTATGTATGGTAGCGCCCCGTAGTCTCTGATATGTAGGTCTCATCGGGGCGCTGACCACAAGGAGTCCATTGATTGAAAGGCACTGTTGTTGAATGCGATGAAAACACTGCTGTAGCACAACTGCCGTGCGATGCCTTGATTCCCAGTGGATAAAACAACAGCTGTGTAAGGAGTTGAGGAAACACGACAATAGTCTACGTTGAAGCGAATAGAACAAAAACATCATGGCTAAAGGAAGGACACTCGCACGAATACTCAAAATGCAACCAAAGAAATATGTTGTTTTCTTTGGAGAGATGCGTTGCCCCGTTTGGTCAACATTGGCGCGCATTTATTCACAGCCAGCGTGTCGCCTGTTGGGTAGGTTCCATCCGGACATGCATCGACACAAGCTCCGTGAGTGGTGAGATATTTGGCATCTCGACACTCAGTGGCAACCTGAAGGTGAAGTCCAAGACCAGAAGCGAACGAAGGCATTGAACACAAAATGAAACATGCTTAAGAACAATTCCGAAAAGCACCTGCAAAGGGTTCTCCGTAAAGAACGGCTACCAATTTCAATTGTTTAACTATCATTTTGATAATTTTCATCATTTTGATCATCATCATCATCATCAGCAGCAGCATAGACATCGCATTCAACATCATCACTTTGATCGTTTAACAGTTAACATCATCATCGTAATCGCAATCACCATCGATCATTGTCATCATCATCACCACCATCATCACTGTCACTGTCGCCATCATCAAGTCATTATCACCGTCATCATCATCATCATCATCATCACCATGGTATGAAGAGATGCAGGTGAATGATATGGTTGTCATGAAGGGGAACACCTGTGTACAGATGCGGGTGGTGAGATACAGGTAATACAGGCAGGTGCTGAGATACAGGTGAAAAAGGTGTTGAGATACAGGTGACAACACCCACAAAAATCACCCACGCGAATACAACTTCGACATCTTTATAAACTACCCTTAAGGCGGAGAGGTGGCAAACTGTGGTAATACGCAGCTCGTTGTGGGCCTTGGGAAACACTCTGAAGAGATCGCGTGTATCGAGTGCGCAAACGTGAGGCGAAATGCGAATTTGAGTTGTCCCTGGCGAACCCTCTCCGAAGATCGCGCGCGTCGAGCGCTCAACCGTGAGGCGAATGCAAATATGATTGGTCCCTGGTAGCCCTCTGCGAAGATCGCGCGTCGAGCGCTCAAACGTGAAACAAAATGCCAATTTGCCCTTGGTGAACCCTCTGCGGAGATACCGCGTATCGAGCGCTCAAGCTGCGCGGCGAAGCGTGAATTTGAGTTGTCCTTTGTCAAACCCTGTGCGGAGATCGCACATCGAGCCCTCAAACGCGGAGTGAAATGCGAATTTGCAATGTCCTTAAGTGCTCAAACGTGAGGTGAAACGTGAATTTTGCTACCAAAGTGTGCAACGTCGTCGAAAATCGACATGGAAGTTACCAAACTGTCGTCAAAAACAAAGTGGAGGTTGCCCAAGTGTCTAACGGTCATCGAAGAGGAAGGTGGACGTTGCCAAAGCGCGTCACTCTCGGTGGGCGTCGCCAAAGTGTGTAACTGTCGTCGAAAATCTAGGTGGAAGTTGCCAAAGTGTGTAAATGTCGTTGAAAACGAAGGCGGGGTCGTCGAAAGGAAGGTGGACGTTACCAAAGTGTGTGATTGTCGTCGAAAACCAAGGTGCCAAAATGCGTGACTGGTTAAATACGACGGTGGAAGTTGCCAAAGTGTGTGACTGTCGTTGCGTTGGCATGGAAACTTTGTAGTATAGTACAAATGTAGTGCAGCCAGCAGCTTCTGGAAGCTGGCAACTTTGTAGCGCACATGTAGGACAGGAAGAGGCCTCAAAGCTGGCAACTTTGGTACAAATGTTGTGTGGGAAGCAGCCTTTGCGGCACCTTTGTGGTAGGAATGTTATATGGAGCAGCTTCTGGGAGCTGTCAAGTTAAAACTGGTAACTTTGTGGCGCAAATCTAGTGAATGAATCTAGTGCCAAAAGCACCTCCGGGAGCAGCTTCCGGCAGCTGCGGGCCTCAGACCTGGCAACTTTGTAGCGCGCGCGTGGCGAAATTAGGTCTGCGACGTCGCTGTGCCATGCGGTTTTGCGCGGCCTCGGAGACCGTGCCATTAAACTTAAAAACATGGTGTAAACGCGGCGTGTCGCTGGGGAGCGGGATGGTTTGCGGTGACCATTGTGATCATCATCACCACCACCACCATCATCATCATCGTCATCATTGTCAAAATCATTTTCGTGACAATCCACATCCTCATCGTTACCTTCTGTCATCTCCTGCTGTGCTTTCAGGCCACCCTGTCTTCTAGTATCTTTTGGAACATACAAGAACATGTTTAAACAATTTCCACAAAACATATAGGAACCAAATCAACCGCGCAATGAATTCTTCAAGGACGCTCCGCACCGCGCTCAGGCTTTCCCGAACACCAACCCTTTTGCGTCCAGCCCTGGTAGATTGTTGCCAGCTATGCCAGTAGGTGCTCTAGCTACTCTAGGCCTCTAGGCTTCTTCTAACTAGATTCTTGCGGCCACCGACCCCAAGAAAAACTCAAAACTAACATCGACCCGAATAATAAATACGTGAAAACTTAAACGTGCCCGACTTTCCAACATAATTCCCGAAAGCATTGCGAAGGGTTCTTCCGGAAAATCCCTTGAACACCAGCCAGCGGAAAAGGGCGGACACCAGCAGTGACACAAGGGCGGACACATCTTAAGAAAGAATTGAGAACCCCTAACAGTAAACTGTTTGGGGAAAAACCTTCCAGATATGTTTTTCTTTGTGTCCTTCTGTTCTTCCTTTCCTTGGTTATTTTTTGTTTTTGCTCTTTACGCCTTGACACCACTTTGTCCATGCTTTGATTCTTTTCCTAGAAAGGAACTATATATGTAAAAAGTAACGCTAAGGGTTCCTGCAAAAATCTGTCGTTTAAAATCTTCCAAGTAGCCGTTGGGCTGATGCATTTTGAAATTCCTGCTGGGCAAGTCAAGCACCTTCTGCCCAACTTGCCTGCGCCATTCTTGTAGTAACCATCCGGGCAAGCATCCTGCAACGACAAACAACCAAGGGCCATGACATTGCTCAAGACACCAAATGTGCAGGGAACAAATGTGCGCACGCAACCTCGCACCAATGATCTGCAGTCAAATAATGACCTGAGACACACCGCTGTAAACAATTCCAAGCGCGGTCCCTTTTCAATTCCAAGCAGCTGTTAGTGCACTGATCACAGGTCTCTCCTCAGATCGTCCAAAGAAAAGAGAGAGATTTCGGGACAGGATCGTAGTTCATGGATGAAGAGCTGGACTTCATTGTAAACCGCAAAGATACAACCCCACGCGTCTATGAGATCACATGGCACATGTCAATCAAACAAAGCGCCGGCTAGAACCACAATATGTGCCATGGTCAAAAATCCTTGTGTAGGGCGGTCATCCTGCCCTTACCAAGGCCCCTATTGGGTGGTTGTACAAAAGTATTAGAAGTGAATGGCAATCCATACCAGACCGTCTCGGGTCCCTCTCCTCAATTCAACCAGGAAAAGTACAAGTAGTTCCCGGGCAAGCCGGCGGCGGAAGTTTCCAAAGGAATAAACCTATATGAAAAGGGCATGTGGCAGGCTGATTCGCCGAGCTGCGATGTTCTTTGACAAAACAAGTTGGGACCGACCAATGGAGCGAAAGCGAAGCAACCACCGTCAACTGTCTTGCCTTTTGCAAAATACAGAATAGAGATGACTCAGCCACGTACTAAAGTTGTACTACAAAGTCGCCAGTTCTCAGCTTCCAGCTCCACGGCTTGCTCCACGTACTAGAGCTGTACTACAAAGTCGCCAGTTCTCAGCTTCCAGCTCCACAGATTGCTCCGCGTACTAAAGTTGTACTAGAAGGTCGCCAGTTCTCATCTTCCAGCTCCACAGATTGCTCCGCGTACTAAAGTTGTACTACAAAGTCGCCAGTTCTCATCTTCCAGCTCCTCAGATACACCACGCACCAAAGTTGCCCTACAAAGTCGCCAGTTCTCAGCTTCCAGCTCCGCAGATGGCTCCGCGTACTACAGTTGTACTACAAAGTCGCCAGTTCTCATCTTCCAGCTCCCCAGATACTCCGCGTACTAAAGTTGTACTACAAAGTCGCCAGTTCTCATCTTCCAGCTCCCCAGATACTCCGCGTACTAGTTCTCAGCTTCCAGCTCCACAGATTGCTCCGCGTACTAAAGTTGCACTACAAAGTCGCCAGTTCTCAGCTTCCAGCTCTGCTGTGCCTGCCACGAAATCTGCACATGGAGGTTCACAAAGCGCTGTGCCTGGCACGAAATCTGCGCATGGAGGTCAAAGCGCTGTGCCTGCCACGAAATCTGCGCATGGAGGTTCACAAAGTGCTGCGCCTGCCACGAAATCTGCGCATGGAGGTTCACAAAGCGCTGTGCCTGCCACGAAATCTGCACCTCGAGGTTCACACAGTGCTGTGCCTGCCACGAAATCTGCACATCGAGGTTCACACAGTGCTGTGCCTGCCACGAAATCTGCACATGGAGGTTCACACAGTGCTGCGCCTGTCACGACATCTGCACATGGAGGTTCACAATGCCACGAAATCTGCACACGGAGGTTCACAAAGTACTGCACCTACCACGAAATCTGCACATGGAGACTCACAAAGTGCTGCGCCTGCCACGAAATCTGCACATGGAGGTTCACAAAGTACTGCGCCTGCCACGAAACCTGCACATCGAGGTTCACAAAGTGCTGCGCCTGCCACGTAATCTGCACATGGAGGTTCACAAAGTGCTGCGCCTGCCACGAAATCTGCACATAGAGGTCACTAAGTGCTGCGCCTGCCACGAAATCTGCACATCGAGGTTCACAAAGCGCTGCCCCTGCCACGAAATCTGCACCTGGAGGTTCACAAAGCGCTGCGCCTGCCGCGAAATCTGCGCATGGAGGTTCGGTTCACAAAGTGCTGTGCCTGCCAGGAACTCTGCACATGGAGGTTCACAAAGCGCTGTGCCTGCCACGAAATCTGCCGCCTGCCACGAAATCTGCACATCGAGGTTCACAAAGGGCTGCGCCTGCCATGATATCTGCACTTCAAGAAGCAACTGAAACCTCTAATCGCAATGGAGGGACGATTCCGAGCATGATCCGACCATGATCCGACCATGACCCCAGACTGTCTCGCAACCGTCGTTCCGCGGAGCTTCCCCGTCGAGGTTCGGAGAAGCATGGAGGTTCACAAAGCGCTGCACCTGCCGCGAAATCTGCACATGGAGGTTCACAAAGTACTGCGCCTGCCACGAAATCTGCACATCGAGGTTCACAAAGTGCTGCGCCTGCCACGAACTCTGCGCATGGAGGTTCACAAAGCGCTGTGCCTGCCACGAAATCTGCACATGGAGGTTCACAAAGTGCTGCGCCTGCCACGAAATCTGCACATCGAGGTTCACAAAGTGCCATGAACTCTGCACATGGAGGTTCACAAAGCGCTGTGCCTGCCACGAAATCTGCACATGGATGTTCACAAAGTACTGCGCCTGCCACGAAATCTGCACATGGAGGTTCACAAAGCGCTGCGCCTGCCATGATATCTGCGCTTCAAGAAACAACTGAAACCTCTAATCGCGATGGAGGGACGATTCCGAGCATGATCCGACCATGACCCGAGACCGTCTCGCAACCGTCGTTCCGAGGAGCTTCCCCGTCGAGGTTCGGAGAAGCATGGAGGTTCACAAAGCGCTGCGCCTGCCACGAAATCTGCACATGGAGGTTCACAAAGTAATGCGCCTGCCACGAAACCTGCACATCAAGGTTCACAAAGTGCTGCGCCTGCCACGAACTCTGCGCATGGAGGTTCACAAAGCGCTGCGCCTGCCACGAAATCTGCACATGGAGGTTCACAAAGTGCTGCGCCTGCCACGAAATCTGCACATGGAGGTTCACAAAGTAATGCGCCTGCCACGAAATCTGCACATCGAGGTTCACAAAGTGCTGTGCCTGCCACGAACTCTGCACATGGAGGTTCACAAAGTGCTGTGCCTGGCACGAAATCTGCGCATGGAGGTTCACAAAGTGCTGTGCTGCCACGAAATCTGCACATGGAGGTTCACAAAGTGCTGCGCCTACCACGTAAACCGGAGCTAGGGCTATTGAAACTAGAGCTAACTGGAGCTAGAGCTCTTGAAACTAGAGCTACCTGGAGCTAGAGCCATTGAAACTAGAGCTACCTGGAGCTAGAGCTATTGAAACTAGAGCTACCTGGAGCTAGAGCTCTTGCAACTAGAGCTAACTGGAGCTAGAGGTTTTGAAACTAGAGCTAACTGGAGCTTGAGCTCTTGAAACTAGAGCTGCCTGGAGCTAGAGCTATTGAAACTTGGAGCTAGAGCTATTGAAACTAGAGCTACCTGGAGCTAGAGCTCTTGCAACTAGAGCTAACTGGAGCTAGAGCTCTTGAAACTAGAGCTAACTGGATGATGAGTGGTGTATGTTGAGTGGTGTATGATGAGTGGTGTATGATGAGTGGTGTATGAT